TGGAAGGAGGTGTGAAGGTGCTTGGCTATGGTGGGTGGGTGAAGGAGGTGGAGGTGGAAGAAGGTGTGAAGGTGCTTGGCTATGGCGGATGGGTGAACGAGTTGGAGGTGGAAGAAGGTGTGAAGGTACTTGGATATGGCGGATGGGTGGAGGTGGAGGTGGAAAAAGATGTGAAGGTACTTGGCTATGATGGATGGGTGAAGGAGGTGGAGGTGGAAGAAGGTGTGAAGGTGCTTGGCTATGGTGGATGGGTGGAGGCGGAGGTGGAAGAAGGTGTGAAGGTGTTTGGCTATGGTGGATGGGTGAAGGAGGTGGAGGTGGAAGAAGGTGTGAAGGTGATTGGTTATGGCGGATAGGTGAAGGAGGTGGAGGTGAAAGAAGGTGTGAAGGTACTTGGATATGGTGGATGGGTGAAGGAGGTGGAGGTGGAAGAAGGTGTGAAAGTACTTGGCTATGGTGAATAGGTGAAGGAGGCGGAGGTGGAAGAAGGTGTGAAGGTGTTTGGCTATGGTGGATGGGTGAAGGAGGTGGAGGTGGAAGAAGGTGTGAAGGTGCTTGGCTATGGCGGATGGGTGAAGGAGGTGGAGGTGGAAGAAGGTGTGAAGGTACTTGGCTATGATGGACCCTATGTTTCTAGCCCCTACCTACTTGCATGGCGTTAACGTCTAAACCATCAGAAAAACTCAGAGTTGCAAAGTACTGACTTGCGGCAGACACACAGACTTTACAGAATTCAAATCTGCAAAAAAAAAAAAAAAAACTCAGAATGTGAAACACCCAGATTTGCGATTTTTCAGTTTTTCCAATTTTGCTAGGGGCAAGAGAGCTAGAAAACACAGATCTGCATTTGGTGGCCCAAACGGTGTCAAATGTCCACGTAACTTCATAGGCCCTCTGTCTATACCCTATTGAAGACCTCCCTAAAGTTTGACCGAATTCCGCCACCATTTACCCTTACTTGCCTGTTTTTGGGCACCGTCGGAGGCTCTAAGTGAACAGTTAAGGGAAGTCAATTTCCGTTTTCGAAGGAAAATTGACTCAAATGGCCTGGTGGTTTTGCAGGCAATCTATATATGCCTAGGATATGAGGCCTGTTCAGTCTCAATCCCCATACCCCTTGTGTTGGCAGAGTCAGTTTTTGGCACCCTTGGGCCCCTCCGGCCCTTTGGCGACCGACCTCCGCCCAGGGGGCTGGACAACGGTTTTATCTGCAACAGTAGCAGCAAGGCTCTCGCCAGGCATCAGTAGCAACAGCAGTTGCCTCATTATCAGCAGTCAGCAGCAGCGGTAGCGGCCATAGTCTCCTACCTATTCCCTCCTCTTACCACTTTTGAATAGAGCACGGGGGAGGAACCGGTGTTCCAACAAAGCTTGGAGGGGTTAGTCTATCATTCAAATAGAGCACATGGGGATGAGCTGTCACAGGTAGCAAAGCGGCAAATTATTTTGGAGTGAGAAGATCGACTAATCGTAACCATATGATGACATGCCCACCAAGAACAACAAGAGATAGAGTTGCGGTTCAGACCCAAGTTGAAAAATTGGTCAAAAGGTGAAGGGAGAGTGAATGCAACTCATTCCCATGCCCGGAAACACAAAGGGCAAAGCGGCGAGTTGCTTTGAAGTGGGACAACGGATTAATCATGAACATCTGGTGACATCTACATTAAAAACAACAAGAAACAAAATTGCGATTCACACCCAAGTGAAGAACTGATCAAAAAGTGAAGGGGGAGTGAGTGAAACTCACTTTTATGCATGAAAACTGAAAATGCAAAATAAAAATGCAAAATGACGAATTACTTTGAAGTGGGAAAATTGACTAATCATGGGCATATGATGTCATCAACATAAAGAACAGCAAGAAGTAGAGTTGTGATTCACACCCAAGTGAAGAGATGATAAAAAAGTGAAGGAAGAGAGAGTGAAACTCACGCTTATGCATCGAAACTGAAAATGCAAAGTGGCGAATTACTTTGAAGTAGGAAGATTGACTAATCATGAGCATATGATATTATCAACACAAAGAAAAGTAAGAAGTAGAGTTGCGATTCACACCCAAGTGAAGAGATAATCAAAAAGTGAAGGGAGAGTGACATGAAAACTGAAAATGCAAAGTGGCAAATTACTTTGAAGTGGGAAAATTGACTAATCATGAGCATACGATGACATCAACACCAAGAACGACAAAAAGTAGAGTTGCGATTCACAACCAAGTGAAGAGATGATAAAAAAGTGAAGGGAGAGTGAATGAAACTTACTCTCATGCATGAAAATTGAAAATGCAAAGTGACGAATTACTTTGAAGTGGGAAAATTGACTAATCATGAGCATGTGATCACATCAACACCAAGAACAACAAGAACTAGAGTTGTGATTCACACCCAAGTGAAGAGATGATGAAAAAGTGAAGGGACTCAAGATAGGAAAACACACATAGTACCGGATTACAATGGAGAGTGAAAATGAACAATGCAAGTGCAAATGATGATTACAACAGCAAGGCAAGCAAGCACAAAAGTGGCAATTCACACCCAAGTGAAGACTAGAGCAAAAGGTGGAAGGAGAGTGAGTGAGACTCACTCAAAAGTTTGACAACTCAACACACAAAATACCGGATTACAAAGGAGGGTGCAAATGGACAATGCAAGTGAAGATGATGACTACAACAGCCAGCCAGGCAAGTACGAAAGTGGCGACTCAACCCAAGTGAGGATTAGAGCAAAAAGGTAAAGGGAGAGTGAGTGAAACGCACTCTCAAGCTAGGAAACTCAAAGCACAAAGCACCGGATTACACAGGAGAGTGAAAATGGACAAGGCAAGTGAAGATGATGACTACAGCAGCCTGACAAGCAAGTACAAAAGGTGGCGATTCACACCGTAATGAAGATAAGAGCAAAAAGGTGAAGGGTGAGTGAGTGAAACTAACTCTCAAGCTAGAAAACTCAAAGCACAAAGTATCGGATTACAAAGGAGAGTGAAAATGGACAATGCAAGTGAAGATGATGACTACAACCGCCAAACAAGCAAGTACAAAAGTGGCGAGTCAAAATCAAGTGAAGATTAGAGCAAAAGGCGAAAGGCTCAAGTTAGGAAACTCAAAGCACAAAGTGTCGGATTACAATGGAAGGGGGGAATGAACAATATGAAGGCAATCTCTAGTGAAAAGCTACTTCCTACTTGCCCCATGCTTCATATGTTAGTTATGGAGAGAAAGAAAGAAGGAAGGGAGAGAGGAGGGAGGAGATGGAGGAAGATGACGAATAATTAGGAGAAGAAAAAGAGAAGGAAGAAGAAAAATAGAATGCAGGGGAGGAGAAGAAGAGGAAGAGGAAGAAGGTGAGGAAAAAGAGGAGGAAGAAAACGAAGAAAAAGAAGGAGAGAAGATGAAGGAGGAGAAGAAAAAAAAAGAAAAAAAAAAAAAGACGGAAGCTTCTCACTCACCTCCTCTAATATTTTGAGATGGAGATGTCAACCTTGTCTCCTCTTTCTTTCCACACTTGCAGCCCAGCTATGGCTTCCTTCTTCTTCAAACCCTCATCTTCTTCCTTCCCCAGCCTCTCCTAGACTATGGCAAACTCCTAACACTAAGGTTATGAAGTCCTCTCTAGGACGGCTAATATGATCCCCACTAGCCTTTCTCTCTCTCTCACAACTTGAGGGCTATGGCGGACCACTTCCTTGGGCCAATACTACCTCAACCCGCCCCAGTAGCCTTTCTCACTAGCCTACAGCCTCTTCCAAGCCTTTAGACTGGCAGCGGTTCCCCTCCTCTCACTCAAAGTGAGTGTAGTGCTCTCATGAGCTCATTTGGGCAACATATACTTGCCTCATGCAAATGTGAGTGTGGCGGGCTGCTCCCCCAACTTATGTAGTCTGGGCACAACACTTCGGCCAGCCCATGGGCCTCTCCATGTGCCCCAAGGTGAATCGAGGTACCCCCAAGGCTTCCTTTCACTAGTAGGCCTCTCAGGGAGTACCTGAGCTTCCTTTTGGCCAGGTACATGCAGTTTGAGTGGTCGGTACCAGCTCGGTCTGCCTCTAGAGCCTCCTCATGCCTTATTTTCATTTTCAGATGATGCCCCCTTGGGTCCAAATACTCAACGGGCAGCCTTGTTTGAAAGAAAAAAGCCTTGTGAGCCTTTTTCTCGATTTTTTCTTATTCTACGCCAATTTGAGTAGGCCTAGGTATTTCCTTGTACCTTGGTGCTATCTCAGCCTTGGATCTGGTTGGGATCCAAGGCCAACATTAATATGAGCTACCCACAAGTGATCCTTGCTTCAGATTTGAGCCCCAAGGCTCACTTTTTTATTTTTTTGTGCATCCGGCCTTCATTTTCGACCAAGTGCACCGTTTCGTCTTTTTCCCTCTTTTGTTTCTTTCCATTTTGGGCTGCCAACTCATTCCGGAGTTGGTCGTTTGAACTGGTTTCACAACAAACGGCCATATTGTCTCCTTCATGAGATCTGATCTCATATTCATGGTCCAGAAAAAAATCGGCCAACTTCTTTTTGTCTTTTCTCTTATTTATGTTTTTTAATTCAGATGTTGTTGAGATAACGCCCAAAGGCCTTATCTCTGCACTCCGGATTGCCCTCCACTAAATTCGGAGTGATGAGGTCACAGTAGGGACCTGCCAGTCCCTACTATGCCAGTCCCAACTGACCAGTTCATCCTCCTCCACTCTTTTCTCCCCCTTTGTCTCATTATCCCTCCTTTTTTTTTCCTTTTTTTTTAATATATTTCTGTTGTGACAAGTGTCAAGCAGTTGTAGGCCCTCTTTCCGGACCATGGATCTCAATTTTTTTCTGATTCTATCCCAATTTGAGTAGGCCGAGGTATTTCCTTGTACCTCGGTGCTATCTCAGCCTTGGATCTGGTTGGGATCCAAGGCCAACATTAATCCGAGCTACCCCCAAGTGATCCTTGCTTCAGATTTGAGCCCCTAGGCTCACTTTTTCATTTTTTTGTGCATGTGGCCTTCATTTTAGGCCAAGTGCACTGTTCCATTTTTTTCCCTCTTTTGTTTCTTTCCATTTTGGGCTGCGAACTCTTTCTGGTGTTGGTCGTTTGAGCTAGCCTCACAAAAAACGACCATATTGTCTCCTCCATGAAATCTGATCTCAGATTCATGATCCAGAAAAAAAACGAGCAACTTCTTTTTGCTTTTTCTCGTATTTTTGGTTTTTTTAATTCAGATATTGTTGAGATAATGCCCCAAGGGCCTTATCTCTGCACTCAGGATTGCCCTCCACTAAATTTGGAGTGACGAGGTCACAATAGGGACCTGCGAGTCCCTAGTGTGCTAGTCCCAACTGGTCGGCTCATCCTTCTCCACTCTTTTCTCCCCCTTTGTCTCATTCTCTCTCCTTTTTCTCCCTTTTTTCTTTTCTTTTCTTTTGTTTCTGTTGTGACAAGTGTCAAGCAACTGTAGACCCTCTTTCTGGGGTATGGATCTCGATCTAGGGTCAAATCCAGATCCAGCAGTTGGTCATTATATCTCGGATTACAATAATGAAGCCCCCACAACTACGGGGGCTTCATTTTGCCTCCGTTACTCTCAATTTTGGGCTCCCCTTGCTCCGATTTCCCCTTGGCAGCTTATTTTGTGCGTAGAGCCCCTTGGGGCTCTATTTTCTTATGCCTTGCTAGTCCGGGATATCTCGGACTACAGGGAAGGC